GTCTAGTGAAGTCAAATTGATTCGAATAGATTTGAATTAAATTACATTATTTTAAATAATATTACTATTTATTTTGTATTTTTATATATTCTTTATCGAAATTTTATGAAATATATTTCAAAAGTTAACTTAGCTTATTGTGAATTATTTTGAATTATTCCAAAATATTTCGAAATATATTGAATTGTTTTACATTATATTTCAAAAAATATTTTATAATATTTTGAAAAATATTTCATAATATTTCGAAATATATTTTGTAATATTTCGTAATTTATTTTGAAATATTCTGCATAGACCATAATTATTCCACAATATTTCAGATCGTAATAATTTATGTAAGTCTACATTTATATATTTTGCTGATGTAGTACAGATTATTAAAAGAACGAGCCAACCCACTAACCAAAAAAAGTCTATTTTACAAATTTCTATAGCCAAATAGCTGATCATATGAAATTTTCGTGTGAATTAATTAACTCGCACACCATTTATGTATATACCATCATATTCGATCATCTGTAATACACCACCAGCAGCTTCAGTTGCCGATATTGAGTCAGGTAAATCCCAAGTATATATGTTAACGTAATCTTCCGGATCAGGATCCGGAAAGCTTGTATATGTTAATACATCTTCATTAATATTTGACACAGAAACAGGTCTATTACGTACTCTACGTAATAAAGCATTAGCTAAAGTTTGTTTTGTAGAATAAAAACTACCACTTCTTGGATGAGAACCTCTTTTCTTTTTAGGTTTTTGGGGGATAGTAGGAGGAGGAGAAACATAAGTGACGGAAGGAGGAGAAAGGGAAGGAATAGTAACAATTTCAGGAGGTTTATCTTTTTTAATAAACCTAAAAAGATTTCTAGGTAAAGATTTTGAACCAGCCTTAACATTCTTTTTTTGAGCCTTTGTAGTTGAAGACGACGTTTTTCCAATATTAGATATTAATAAAGGAGCGCCACCATGCTTTTTGTTCGGTATCGGGTCGGAAGTAAATATTAATGATTGATCAATACCATTTTTTTCATTATTTTCATTACGTTCATCAGAGGAATTCTTATAATCGTTCTGAGTAATTGTTTCCCAATTTTCAGAAATTGAACAAGTATCTTGAGCTTCATTTGATGATTTCAATACATCAGAAGCATTACCAGTCCTAGCAACGTATAGTGAATTCGGAGAATTTTGTGGTGGTAACTCAGTTGAAAGTTTAGTAGGAGACGAAGAAAATTTGTTCAAGGAATCAGATTGATTAATCAAATGATTATCATTATTTAATGTTGATACCGATATCCTAGATTTTGTCGAAGAACTTGAAGAGGATCTGATAAATTTAGGTATTTTAGGGCTTACTTTCAAGCTAAAACGTTTAGCCACATTTTGTTTAATTTCAGATACGGGTTGATTTATGCTCGTCAAGATTGGAGGAGTCATATCTTTGTCAGAAAATTGGGTATTATTACTCGAATTCTTCCTCGAAGCAGACGATCGTGAAAATTTTAAACCACTTGCTTTATGAACACTAGCAGGTGTAGAAACAACTATATTGTGAGAGTTATTGCTGTTACGTCGCATTTCATGGTTTGTAAATATATGCACCTACACAAAAACACCTCGAAATTTCTTGAACTAACTAATCGAGGGAAATACCAATAGAAGAAAAAGGTTTGAAAAAATTATTACACAATTTAATTGTAAGCTCTAAAAAAATAATAATGAATAATAATTATTACGTATATACGTATAATAATAATAATTATAATAATTTCACTGGGAAATAAAAATGTTAAAAGTTTTAGTAAATAGAGGTGTTTGACTAGGTTTAAACACAAGGGACTTTTTAAAAAAAAGCAATTTTTTACACTAAACCTTTTATAGTAAATAACTTTTGTATCCCGAACGGAGACTAACGGAAGAAAAAGGAGGCTAGAATTTTTTTGGGTGTAACCACGTAAATCGGTACCCATGGCGTTTTAGCACTGGTACATAATTTAATAAATGGTGACTTGGTACCTATAAGTAAAATGTCAAAAAAACGTTGGGGTGTTACCGTTATCTGTATGGTTTTTTCATTAAATTTTTCTTTTAATCTTTTTTTATTTTATTTTTATTTACAGTATTTATTAAAAAAAAAAACAGGGTATGAAAGTTCTTTATATATTGAATGACTGTAAGAAAAAAACTTATGATAATAAAAAAACACTAACCTAATGCTAGGTTTTGTCACGACTAGAATGCCATTCATTAAGCTTATTTAGTAGTATTTTTGGTGATGGGTGTTGAAAAAACACTATGATCATTATGGAGTGATTTTAGTGTATCCTTTTTTTTTTCTTTTTGGCGGTAATTTAAACAAAAGCACAGCCACCAACCATCATACTTCATGATTTTTTTAAATTTGTAATACAAGTCCGCATCGACCTGACGTTAAAAAAGAAACACGAGGGTAAGATCCAAAATCGGATATGGAATCAATGATAGACATTGAATGAACAACAATGTGTTCTATAAACATCTATAAACTTTATAAGTATTCATTATTATAAACAATAATATAGGGTTGTAGATCATCAAGACTAACATCAAGTCATTATCAAACAAATCAGGTTAGGAGAAAACCCTGGGCGCTAGATCTGGTTTTATTCAAGAGTTACTCAGTCGAGGTACGTACGTACGTAGAACATATATATATATATACGTATGTACTGTGAGTATGTAAATACGTGCCGGTACATGCATACGTAATTTATACAAGTTTTTTTTTTTTTTTTTTAATGAAATAAACAAATAATTATCTTTATATCTGCGGATATATATTTTTAATACGTATTAACGATAAACGGTTAAGCTATATTATTGCTGTAAAAAAATTCAAACGATAAAACCGATAAAAATTATACTTTTTTTTTTTTTTTAATTTATGATTCTACGAAACTTCTCAGTTTTATAAAAAACGTCAGTTCTTATAACATATTTTCTTCCTTTTAAAACTTCAGAACCTTCATGATATAAAAGATGTTCAAAAACCAATACCATACCAGTTTTTGGAGCAACTTTTACTTTACCTCCTGAAAGATTTAAAAAAGAAGTTTCACCACCTTCTAATCCTTCATCATTTAAATATAATTGTAAAGTGACAAAAGTTGTTTCTGAACCATCAGGACTTTGATAAGATCCATCTTGATGTGGTTTAAAACGTTCACCAGGTTCATACTTTAAAAATCTTAATCTTTCATTTAATCCAACAGCAGGAAATGAATCTTTTGTCCAAGTATCTGGAACAAAATTTGATATTCGTGACCATAAATCTGATGAAAGTTTAACATCATCCCGAATGTAACGTGTGTTATTACGTACATCAGTTATTAATTGTTGATCACCCCCACCAACATTTACTAATGCTGGCTCATAACCACCCTCTTCTGAAAGCTTTATGAGAGCGGCACACTCCTCAGGAGTACATACATTATCAATAGTAAAAGCGCAAACATCTTTAGGATATGGCATATCCAAAGGGGTTAGATCTACAGGAACTGCCTCAAGTTGAATATTTAGTGGTTTAGATAGAATGTCTGACATTTTCGTACGTATCGTAAGATTTCTTTGAACATGAGACTTGATGGGATTAAATATTCCAATTTCGGAGTTATGAAATGCACATGTATTATTCTTATGGTATAGTTATGGTATATTAGAATATACCTAATGATATTCTATAACAACTATTTTGGTTAAATTACTGTGATACAATATTTTAAATATGACCTTTTATTATTTTTGAATAGGAATGTAATCTCCGGTAGTGCTAGTAGTGTGTAGTATTGTGATAGTATTGTAATAATTCAGTGTTAATTTAGTGTTAATTCAGTGTTAATTCAGTGTATTGGTGTAGCTTATAGTAGAATGTTTTTAGTATTTGTAGTAGTATAACCGTAGTATAATGGTATAATGGTATATATATGCGTAATATATAGTAATGAAGTAGTGCAATAGTATAACGGTGTAATGTAGGCAAATATTTCCGATAATGCTGTGTGTTGCATACGTATGTCGTACCGATACGTACCTACATACTTACGTGTACTGTTCCATATCGATATATCGATATATTCGGAAATATTACTATATGAAACTGCCGAGTGGATTACTCGGAGGTTATTTCCCTAATTATGGGCAATTTGTTTCAATCATATTTATTTTCAAATATAGTTATCTCTTACTATATACGATCATTATCTTTGTTAATTGTGAGTTCTTATTTAGCTAATCAACGAGCAGATATAAATTTGGTGAAGTGGCAATATGTGCAAGTTGATTTGAGAAAATTTACGTCATTAAAATAATTTCATGTGAATATTTTAAAGAACGGTAGGTCCAAATAACGTCACTCTGAGAATAAAAAATTCCCAACGTTTATGCACAAAAAAAAAATAAAGTTTTTTTTATTAAACAAGTATATATTTTTACCTCGTAACAAAATAAACTAATTTAAAATGTCCGTCAGAGAAAAAAATAATCGAATTATGTTGCGGTTAGGGTTTTTTTAAACTAAAATTGGCAAGGTATATACTACCAAGTCAATTTAAGCTAACATATGGTAATAGTAATTACATAAAGTTAAGATTGCTTAATTATAACCTATATATTTGGTAATTGGTTAGAAAAGGTGGTATGTAACTCTGACGCAAGAAAAGAAAAAAAAAAAAAACATAGAATCAATGACATAAAGAAAAAAAAGTATATTATAAAAGAAGGAAAAAATTTCATTATAATACAGGTGAAGATGAAAGGTATATATATATATATAATATATATATATAATATATATATATATAATATATATATACGTACATATATAATAAGGAAGAATTGTAAGAATATAATTGTTTTTTTTTTGAAGAAAAAAGAAATGAAGAAAAAAAAAAAAAATAATAAAATAGTCCTTGACCCGCCACGTTAACCCACACGAAATTGATTAAACCCAAAAATGTAATAATAGTTCAGAAAATCCCAGCTTTTTTTTCCGATTAGCTTAACGAAATCTCAATGTCCAATCTTTTTTAGTCAATAATGACTTTCTAAAAGTTCACGTGATAATAAAGAGGAATATCGAATGAATCAAATATAAAGAAATATTAGGGATAAATATAAAAATTAAATGGTATATTAATTTTCCTCCATTATTTCGATTACTTAAATTACTTGAATTACTTGAATAGTTTGAATTACTTCAACTACTTTGAATTACTTGAAATTATTTTGAATTACTTTCATTACTTTATTGTTTCATTTTTTTCCTGTCTGGCTCGTTGTTTTCTTCATCCGTCGGTATAGGTCGGTTTTTTGGTAAATTACAATTAGATTCGTGCTTAGCCAATGGAGAAGGCTGATGTTGATAATTACGAGGAATTGGCCAAGGAAAAGCACCAGGACTAGCACTAGTAGGCGTATTACTAAAAGTAATCGGACTGGGTAATTCAGCTGTTTTGTAAAACTCTGAAAAGAACGTTGAAGGCGACGGCAAACTAGTGAATTGTGACACCAACCCAGAAGTTGGACCCGCGTCACTAGTAGTCGGAGTAGGACGAGATGATTGCAACTTAAATTATAGAAAAAAACAAGAATTTCAGTATATAATTGTAATATATTATATAATAATATAATAATAATTGTAATATATTATATAATAATATAATAATAATAATAATATATAATAATATATATTAATATATAATAATAATATATTAATAAGTTTAAATAATTTAATAAAATTCCTAATTTATCGTATGATAAAGAACTTACAGGTTGTAACGTTAGTGATTGTCGTGAATCAGATGGTGTTTCATCTTGATTTGGTGATGCATCAGCCTGAACTGCTTGTTGACCGGCAGGAGTACCTTGCTTTTCATTTGTTTCAGGAATATGTACACGAAGTTTTGGTTTCTTTGGAGAAGAAGCTAAAAGTGAAGGAGACAAGATGTCACCATTAATTGAAGCATCAATCTGAGACGGAGTTGGTGACATAGTCAGACTTGACGTGTTTGAATCCGGTAACTGAGGTGATGACAAGTTTGTAGGTACATTAACAGCCACGCTAGGAGCGACGCTAACAGGCACCTGAAGGGCAACGTTAGTCATTGGCAGAGACATAGCGTCCATAGACTGTTGATTAATTTGAGGATAAAATTGTTGGGTCTATATTTTTATAAAATTAAACAAAGGTTTAAATTGATTAAATTGATTAAAAAATTTATTGAAAAAAATAATAATACACAATTTTCTTACCATAAATTGTTGATGTTGAGACTGAGCGAACATGGCATAATTATTCATAGAATAAGGACCAGGAACTTGCGCCGGTGGATAAGATTGTTGCGGAGATGGCATACCAAATCGCTATTTTATTAAAAAAATGATTAAAAAAAAAATTAGATTAGTTAAATTGGTTAAATTATTGTCAATTAATTATTTTTATGTGAAATAAAACCTTGTGATCATTCGTATCAAATCCTGGAGAAGGATTATCATCATCATCTGTAGTGTTGGCAAACTAAAAAAAAAAAGCAAATTAAATAATTAAATAAATAGTGCTATTATTGCGATTACCGCTATTACAGCGATTACGGTTATTATCGTTATTACTACTATTGTAGAATAAATTCTTACGTCGTGGTTGCCTTTACTTTCATGAGGTTCGTTATACTGTTAGGAGCGATTTAATAAGTTACTCTCTCAATAAACCTTAATAAACGCAGAATGTTACACAAAATATACCTCAGTGTATTTTAATAAAATTTTATCGATATCTGTGCTCGCGTACTGAACAAGTTTGTTGTTTGAATTGAAAATAATCAACGCGATTTCACAATCACATAAAACACTTAGTTCGTAAGCTTTCTTCATAAGTCCATACTTGCGCTTCAAAAAAGTCACCTGATACAATTAAAGTAAAATTCATTGAATTCAATGAAACGATGCATATAATTGACAAGAATTAACGATAATTTCATAACCATTATATCTACAGAGTACGTGTTACTTACTTGACGATTTCTTTCGTCTTTAATGGGTTTGATTTGAATCTTCTTGCGACCCATGATTTTAAGATTTTTTTGTTTTTAACTATAAAAAAAAGTATGAAGGAAAAAGGGGAGAAAAATTGATAAATTTAACATTATTTTTAAATTAATTAAATTATATAGGGCCAACATTCGAATGTAAAGTCGAATTCAGGAATTCAAAATTCGTCAAATTATTTGTTTGTATTTTTTTAAAGCAAAGTCGTAGAGAAAAAGAAAAAAGGAGAATAAACCAAAGACGATATAATTTTCTTAAAAATACTTACAGTTAAAAAAAAATTAAGAAAAAGATAAAAGAAGAAAAAAAAATAATAATAAAAAAATCGAGAGCTCGTAGCTAAAAATTTGATAGACGCGTTTGTGAAAGTTTGTTCTTTTTTTACCACACTATAATATATAATAAAACTTGATAGGTAGGTAGACAAGAGGAAAAATTTTGAAAATGGATTAAAATTCAGTTAAGAATAGTACATTGGAGATAAAAATATAAATAATATCTTTTTTTGAAATCATGCGAGTTCTGAATGAGCGGGTGACACTTACGATGAGCTCTATTTATATATAATTCACTAACACTTTATAGTATCACCTGTAATCTAAAAATATTAACAAATTAGGACCAAATTTAGGGGGTATCTTTTTTGTACAAATTGTCATAGTACAAAGTCGGAGATATTGGCTATTCCCGTCTAAGGAAACGTATTTATTGCGTATTTTTCGGGAGGGAGTGGCACAAAATCATATATAAAAATTCGATCTTTGAGAAGGGATTCTGAACATATGCGACTCATAAAGGCAATTTGATTCATTTGTAATCATGCATATGGTAGGTACATATTGATATGTATTTAAAATCTGTTATAACGGATACTTCTACATATTCTATTGTAAAAATAAACTCTATAAAATCATTATTTTTTGCCTAATAAATTCAAGCATTTTTTTAAAGGTACGATGAAAACCTTGCTGATAGGAAAATTGAGTTCTCAGCCCCAACTTTAGATTTTTAAAGACAACATTTCTGCAATTGACATCATTTTATTATGCAAGCATAAAAAACTTTTAGTGGAATAATTCATAATTGGCATACAATTATAGCCCTGCAAATATTTCCTAATCAAAAAGGTTTGGAAAATCGTAAAGAAAAAAAAAATTGTAATAAAAATGTAAAAAAAAATATTATAAAACCTATAGAAAATAAGATGTAACGACCCAGATCTTGACAAGGGCTTTTCTGTTTTTGTTCTTGCTATTACTTCTATTACTTGCTAATAGAACAATATATTTCTTAACGAATTGAGTTTTCTTTGTGTGTGACAGGAGAACAAAGAAATGAGCATAAGTATGTAACATAAGTACATAGTAAATAATTTCCCGTTTCAGATGTATTAGTAACTTCCAATCTTGTTAGAAAAAATGTTCATGAATTTACCAAGTGATACACTTCCTGAAGCCTAACTTCAAAATATGTATTTACCGACTGCGTCAACAACGTTAACAACGTTAACAATTGAAAAACGCATTGTCTTTACATTCTTTATTAATGTCTGTTTGCAGGATCTAACTGCTTTGGTCTCCAATTTAGGACTCTTCCGTTTGATTTTCGTTGTGATTAGCCCTTCAATGCACGTCCAATCAAAGTAATACCTGTATAAAAAAAATTGTCATTAGCTAAAACAAATTTATTGAATTTTTTTCACAATAACCATTAGTTATAAATATACATTTCTATTTTTATTCTCCAATCACACGTCGTCCTGTCAAGCACATGTAATTGCCATACTTGTTAATTATGTTTGTTATATGTTATACGTATATATATACATGTTATACATCTTTTAAATATTTACTGTATATATCAAGATCATGCTACTTTAATGATAATCGATAATCCTTATTAATACGTAATAGCAATACGTAATTTTTTCACGGGTCCCAATTCTAAGTGATGCAATGAAACAAGTTCTAACTTTAAAGGTAAAGAATATCATTTCGTAGAGTTAAATTACTTTATGCTTTTTTTTTTTGGTTTAAGATTCATTTAAGACAAATTAGTACTTACAGAATGTTCGTAAAGTTGTAATATGCATTCTTTACTGTTTTGCAACTTTTTTGATGGTTTATCTTATTATTTTATATACTGTACATTGTGTCTTAATGTATCGCAAAAAATCTTATTTTCAAAAATTTATACTTATTTAGCTTTGTTATATATTTAATTGGAACTTTGCATTATTATACAATTTAAAGTTTTAATAATGGTTTTATTTTAGTTTATTACATTATATTTATAGTTATATTATTTTTAATTCTGTTTAACAGTTTTTAGATAATAAATTACAATTTAAATTTTCTAATAAAAGTAATAAAAAAAATTTAATAATAAATGTATATACAGTATTTTTAAATAAACTACTACTGTATATAGTATAATATAATATAAAATATATACAGTATATATATATTATATATATATACTGTATATATATATATTGTACTATATATAGTAAATATTAAAATATTTTTAATTTTAATAAAATTTTAAATATTTTTATTTAAAATAAAATAAAAATTTAAATTAAATAAATTAAAAAAATAAATTAACAATTATTATATTTAATTAAATAATCTAATTATATAGTATAGTATATAAATAAAAATCTTTTAATAATAATATTTTTAATTATAATAATACAGATTTTTATAATTATATATATATATGGTATATATATAAATAAAAATCTAATAATAATATTTTAATTATAATAATATATATTTTTAATAATTAAAATATTATCTCTTAAACTGTAGACAATTTCCAGGCAAATTTGCCTGGAAAATTGCTATAAATTTGTTTATGATTTATTTTTTTTAAAATTTAAAATATTTAAATAAAATTTTTTTTGATA